TTATCTTTCTCTTCTAGCTAGCTTTTATTCTTTGAGGCTTCAATCCAGGAAAGCTCTTAAGCTCACTCTTGCTTATAAGTGTGGAGACGCATAATACTTTGCTGGACTGGAGTCAAAATGTGTCATGCAAAACCATTTCTGCTCAAATTCCCGCAGATCTGGAATTCAGCTTGGGGCCCTGTCTTTGGGTGGTCAGGGCGTACGATGCCATTTCTGCTCTCTGACTGAGTTAGAAGCAGGAGGGAAGGGCTGAGGAAGCTCTTGTGGGAACCTTTCTCAACGGTGGTGGACACAGAAGGAGGAAATATATGTGAGCCTGTATCTTGACATTTTTCTAACTGAAAAAAGCTTAAGATGAGGAAGCATGGATGCTCCTTATCTACACATAAAGCAGAATGTGAACTTCTCCTCGAAACTGTGCAAAGGAAATCTCATTTCCCCCCTATTTCCTTGGTGCGTAGATGTGTAGTCCTTGCATCTATTGATACATGCCATCCATCGCTATACAGAGGTAAGGCATTGTGCTTGGACATCTACATTCCCACTTCTGACCATGGTTTTGTAGAAGACCCTAGCAAACCTAATCTGCTGAAAAATGTCCTCTCATTTTTGCCACAGGCTGCTGTTGTGCAGCAAGGAGAGCAGGTCTGCTCTTTATCGCCACAAACCTGGTCAAGGGGGCACCTCCCTGAGCTTGCAGGTGGCAGTGATGGGAAAGGGTTGATTGAGGAGGGCCAGTGTGGGCTGGTCGAGAGAACGAACCCTCTCCTTTTCCTTCCCATCCCGGTACCATCCCTAAAACACTGTTTGGACTCTACAGCCTGATGTAGTCCTTATATTACCTTACTGCACCTCCCAGGCCTCTTTGATGTCCATGCCGAGGCCTCCTCTGGGAACACCTGCTTTCGACCTTGGAGGTGCTTCTTTGCACGTTTTGCATTGCTGTCCTAAATGCAGTTTATGACATAGAGTGCTCCTTACCTGAGATGTTCAGCTGGCAAGATGCGCCGCATGCTAAGAAGGCATAAAAACTATTAGTGTTGTCCCAGAGAGGTTTTGGCTAAAGATTTATTTAAGAGTTTATAAAACCATGAACGTTTTTGCCCCAGAGCCAGCCTTTGTATTGCCCATAAGCAACGTTTTCTGTCCTCCTCGGTGCTTAGGGGGACTCCAGACGTTCAGAGGAATGATATCTCAGCTGGGGCTTACATAGCAGCTTTCCTCACAGCAATGGGAAAGAGCTGGGCACACTTAAAATTGTCGTAAATGAGACACAATCAGGAGCTATATTTGGAAAGGAGAGCATGTATTAAGGCACAGGAACAAAGGCCAGGACTCCCAATTTCTATTTTCAGCTTTGCTAGCGACAGAAGTCGCCTTGGGAGATGATTTTGGCTAAGACTGAGGAATGTGGAAACCCAGAATGAGGCATCGAGGCTGCTATTTAGCATTGTAAATAAATAGCTGGGTTGCAAATCATGCCGAGATTGCTTACTTGAATAAAGATGATGGGTGCTTCTGGTTAAGGAGAGATGCGATACGGTGTCA